TTGAGAGTTTAATCAGTATTACTGAATTCTGGACTTCTGCAAGTACAAAAAAAAAGCATCAGTTCAAAACAGGGAGAGGTTACTGGAGGCAAAACTACTTAACTGGTGTTTTCCACCAGCTTTATTGGACCGAGGGGAATGTGCTCACACTGCCCAGGCTGCCAGGGGCTGATCCTCCCCAGCTCCCTCCTCAGCTCTGAGAGCCAGGGTGGGACGTCAAAAACAAGCTTTGGGGACTGCCCAGGGCACAGGTCTCATTTTGGGTTCAAACCTCCCTCTTTTCAGCCTCTGCTCCTGCCACATCCCTCGCCCCACCACACAATCCACTGGCTAACAAGTCATGGTTCACAGCCAGCAGGGAGAGCCCCGGGGCTATGGATGGGCAGAGGGACCTTCATATCCAAACCCAGGACAGTCTGTGTCTGTCAGGATTAGATAAACAGGGTCTGACCATCACACAAAAATGTCCTGGAGCAAACCCCAGGGGTTTAATAAAACGAGACCAGAAGGAATTGGCACTGAATCCACAGCTGCAAAGCATCAGCGTTGCTGCTTCCCAAACACGCCGGCAAAACGCTCCACCCGCTTGCTTTGAAAGTCGTCACGTTGGTTCCGGTCCGTGATTTCCAGCACACGCCCTGAGCCGAACGTCTGGAATGAGTTAAGCACAAGGGGGATGCAGAAGGTGCCTCTTCCTCGTCTCCAGCACTTACTGACTTGCCTTACACAAGCCCCATCCCCTGCAGTCATCCCCAGCCATCTGTCCTCGCCATTCCATCCAAAAAAAACCAAACCAAAACAAAACAAAACAAAAAAATGAATGGGGAACGGAAATAAAGCTGAATTACACAATGACAACAAACTGTAGAATCACAGAAACATGGAATGGTTTGGGTTGGAAGGAACCTTAAAGATCATCCCATTCCAGCCCCTGCCATGGGCAGGGACACCTTCCACTAGCTCAGGTTGCTCCAAGCCCCGTCCAGCCTGGCCTGGGACATTTCCAGGTCTGTCAGATGCAGCCTCGGTGATGTCGTTTGTTCTGCACTGGCAGAAGTTACAGGTTCACACTCAAAGTAAGATCAGAGCTGCCTATTTCTCCCTGCTCACTTTTGACTTGGCTAAAAATATACATCTGGATGAGAATTTGATGGAAACAACAAAAGCCAAAATCACTTTGTAGTTCTCAGGTTTCTGTGACCAGTTTGGCCACAGCCTTCAAGGAGGATGCACTGGGAGAGCCTTTTTCTGATTAAAGGCAAAAGTACAAAGTTGGGTTGTGTTAAGTTCCCTGAGGTTTCTCTGGCAGGTCTTGGGAAGGCCTCAGGAATGGGGCTGCTGACTCCAGGTGAAGGTGGAACCACGGAGAAGCCCCAAGGATCGCAGAACGGTCCCCACACTGTGCAGACATCAGACACCCCTCCCACCCAGGGGCCTCATCACAGCGGGGTTCCCCTTAGAGCCCCTCATTTGCCCCCACCCATTCTGGGAGCCAGCTGTGTTTGTGTCAGCCCTGGGATCCAGGTCTATCCTCTCCCACCAGGATCTCCCCCAGCTCGTGGCTGCCTGCTTTGGCACTTCTATTCCCAAACATTTCCCGATAAAACCTGGAGACCAGGGCTCTTTCAGCTCGGCCTTTTGCCGCCAAATTTCTGCTCGAGCCAAGTCTGTGGGGCTTAAATGGCCACATAAGGAATTCCTGTTCCTGCTGCATCCCATCTTGTGGGTTGTGGTTTGTCCAAAGGTTACGGACTCCCCTTCCTTGGCACGCGAGGCAGCGTCGTGTTTGTGTTGCCATGGGGAATTCCTGACAGCCTCTCCTCTTCACCTCTCGTGAGAAGGGCTGGTGGATGCAACTTAATGGGATGAGTCACATCCCTACCCAAACCTGTCCCAGAGAGTGCCACGGCAGTAAGAGTGATGGGGGGGAGGATTTACGGCTTCAGGAAACATCGACACGGCTGTGCTTTGAGAGAGCAGAGCAAACACAAGTCATGTCAATAAAAGTGCTTCTTTCACTTGGCAGTTCATGAATTGCAGGAGTCTCTATAACATAGAGGAAGTAAAATTTTTCACTTTTTAAATTCTATTTTCGGGGTAAATATAAAACCCAACCGAAACTCATAGCCCACTTTACAGTCCAAGTGTCCAAGAAGACACCTGGGAGACGCTGCGGAACTATTATCTTTCCACCCCAAATGTGAAGCAAAGACCCACACAAAAGGAGGGGGGGGAGGATTATCCTTTTTTGGTAGCTAAAGAAGGAGAATGAACAGGAAGCTGTGGAAAAACTGAGTTTTATGGCACATTGGATCTAAGTTCTTCGTGCTTATCTTTTGAGACTAAGTAAAAAAAGCTCTGGAGACATTATTGAATTCACAATCCTTCTGGGACAGGAATTGTTCCTGATCAATGATAACTAAAAAATTCAGTAACTGAGCAAGAAAAATGACAAACACTGTGAGCCCTTCCACAAACTGCTCTCTCCTATTGCCTTGGAATGGTATCACCCTCTGAAATCCCAGCTTATCCCAGCAACAAAATAAATCAGCATCCACAGAGAAGCAGGAACTGACTGGTTAAGTTTCATCCCACAGATAAAACATGCCCAGGGGAATGAGGAAGAGCATTGGCTGTGGAACCATTCCCTGCCAGTCTCTAAACCCACCTTTTACTGCCTCCTAGGGAACCTACCCTTTGGCTGGATAAAAATACTGCAGGAATAAGCCAGATGAACCAAGGATTGAAGGGAGGGAAACAGGAAATGAAGGACTAACTTTCTAGGCCAAGGGAAAACTCTTTGTGTTTGGTTTCACACCATGTGTCAGAAGAGGTTTTTCCCTGCATTATTCCTCTCCTTTCACATTATTTTTAATATAAAAGTATGGCTAAGGCTGTAAGCCCCAGTATTCTGTTCTGCTGAAGAACAAAATAAGAACCCTTTTCTAAGTTTCTGATCATGCAGAGATGCGTTTTTCCATTTGAAATTTATGGATGCAGATTTAACAGAGGCTTGCTTTTTTTTATTTTTTTTTTTTCCCAGACTGCAGTGAAATCACAGCTATGAATTTACGAAGAAGTTCTGGAGAGCCCAAACCACTTCTAATGTCTGAAAAATCCCAGAATCCCAGAGTGGTTTGGGTTGGAAAGGACCTTAAGGCCCACCCAGTCCCACCCCCTGCCCTGGGCAGGGACACCTTCCACCAGCCCAGGTTGCTCCAAGCCCCGTCCAACCTGGCCTTGGACACTTCCAGGGATCCAGGGGCAGCCACAGCTTCTCTGGGCAAACCTCAGAATTAGGGATTGTAATGGTTTCAGCAGGGAAGGGGGGCTCTGGCAGACGGGCAAAGGGGGAACCCCCACACCAGCAGCCCCAGGAGGTCCCAGCAGTGGCAGGGGATCAGGCGGTTGGTGCACACAGAGACACTGTCACCCCTCCCCAGGCATCCCAGGACACCAGTTTGGATGTACCTGCAAACCCACAGCAGTACGTGCTCCTGCTTCTCAGGGACCGGAATGAGCCACTGGCTCCAAAGGGGCCTGGAGGAACTTCCCTTCTTCCCCTGCGTTTGAAGAAATCCAAGATTAGAGGCAGAAAAGACCCACCAGCCACCACCCCCAGTATCAGCCTGCCCCCACCGCCCAGCTGTTCCACGTCTCTTCACAGTAGCAGAGCAAATACCACAGAAATTACCAAAATAAACTGGCTGAAAACAGCAGGTGGCAAATATAGTTTTATTTGTTGTCGTCCGGTAACAGTGTGATAATACAAACTGTATAAAGCATGATAAAACTCCTCCATGAAATAGAGCAGGTAGATATTATAAAATAAAAAATACAAATATTACATTACCAAAGGGAAATATAACATTAAAAAGAAAATATTACAATAATGTAATGGTACCAGTTCCTTCCTGTATTCCAAAATTCATGGAAAAACGTTTAAATTATGCAGCCCTAGGATAAGTTACTTTCATTTTCTCGCTTGATTTTAAACGTGCACCAAGTCAAACAGAAATAAAACCCATTGATCAATGCAGAAAATGTTATTTAATCACATGACATTTCATGTAGACTTGGAGCAACCTGGGATAGTGGAAGTGTCCCTGCCCATGACAAGGGGTGGAACAAGATGAGCTTTAAGGTCACCCAGTCCAAACCATTCCGGGATTCTGTGATGCAGTGGCTGTTAAAATAAATGCATTTTAATTACCTCCCTTCCCATGGATTCACAGATTTTAGCAATTGAAGTCTTTGGAGATGCCACTGCATTTTCTGTGCGTTTGCAGAGTTACCTCAGTACTTGCTGAGATGGGAATGAAATAATCTGTGGCTCTGCACCATCTTTCCTTATTTAAAGGACTCAAAAATACTATTTCAAATAACTCTTAAGACATGAACTACTTCATAGTCTTACCTGGGCACATTTTATCCATCCCCAGTAAACATTCCCACTGTCCCTGTGCAGAAATGTGATGGTTCAATCATGGTCAAATGCAAAAAAAATCGCTGTCAAAAAGCACTGTCAAGTTATGTACGAACACTATGGTCAGAAATACACAAACTAACAATAATTTAACACACAGGTGCCAGTAGCTCAAGGATTCAAGAAATGTAATTTGGAGGATCAAAAGAGAACAAGAAAATGTAAGAGGTCTGGGGTTTTGCTGAGTGGTACAGATGTTCTTAAACAGTAGAAGAGTGGATTTCAATCTTATTTTTTTCTGATCCCATCTTCCCTTTCAAGCTATGCCCAGTTTACACCAACCAATAATCAATTACCCCCCAAAAGAAACCAGCGCTTACAGTTTTGTAAGAAAAAAGAAAAGACACTGAAAGCGGTGATCTCAAAAACCCCCTCGCTGCAGAGTTCTTAAAATCGGGATCTCAGCGTACTGAAATGTTTTTAGTTTATTAAAAAAAAAAAAAAAAAAAAAAAAAAAGGCAGTACAAAACGACACTGAAACTTGCGAAGTTCCCGAGAGGACACGCTCGGGAGCGGGTGAGGAGCAGCTGGAGTGGCTGGGGCTGCAGCTGCAGGCACGGGAGCAGGAGCCAGGCACGGCCTCTACGCGTGGTTGTTGTTGAGGTGGCTCTTGTTGAAGAACCTGCGGGCCTCCACACTGCTGAGGGACACGGAGCAGCGCGACGGGTTCTCCTTCCTGTATGCGATGCTGTCCACCACGGCCTCCCTGATCACCTGCACGCAGGGAGACACCCTAGTCACCCACTGCCCCGAGAAACGGCCGTAAAAAACGGCCCCGAGAAACAGCCCCAAATAACGGCCCCGAGAAACGGC